ACTAGGAGATTAGTTTTGAGGCTACTGCAGTAGTCCAGGCCTGGATCAAGTTAGACAGTGGAGAAGATTCAGGAACATTCTGGAGGCTATTAAATGCTCATGACAACCACCCCTGAGGCATTCGACTGGGTCAGCGTGGCCATTTGACCATTTCACAGAAAAGGAAAGTGAGGCCAAGAATAACAAAACAATCGTGCCCTAGATCATGCAGCTGGCGCGTGCTGGACTTGGAAATGAAACAGGACTTTGGGCTCCCTGCCCTGTGCTCCTCTGCCTGTAGAGGGACAGGGCAGGACAGGGAATGCTCCTGGGAACAAGAGCATAGATGAACCAGGGTGACCTCTGAAAACCCCAGAAGGGCCCTGACCTTCCCTGTAGCCCTCACAGGAAGTGCTCGCTCAACGATTATTGGCTGACTCCAGCACTTCAGAAACACAATCCCACTACATGACATGGCTCTTGTGTCCCTTTTCAAGTCACAGTGTGCACTGGGTAGGAAAAGCCAGAGAGTGGGTGACTCCTCAGTTTTCTTTTTCTGAAAAACAAGCACCCCTGTCTTTCAAGGAAACTGGAAGTAACTGAAAGCCTCTCTCCTGCGCGGCAGCTAAGACCTCAGACTCTGGGGTCCGACAGGCCTGGCTCCATCTGACTTCCTGCTCTACCACAGCTGTGAGACCTTGGATGTACTACTTAATCTCTCTGAGCCTCGGTCTCCTCATCTGCCAAATGAGGCTGCTAATAACTGTTCCTGCCTCAAAGAGTTAAGCAGAGGTGATAAGAGGAGACACAGAAAGTGCATTAAATACATGGTGGCTGCTGCCTTATTACCACCATCACGTTCACGTCTCAGCCTCTAATACGGGGCTCAGGAACTGCTGCTGAACTGAGGCTGACTAGATGTTTCTGAAGAGGAGAACACAGGTGCTGACTGCAGGGTGCCACTGTCCCTCCCATGGGCCCCTACAGCCTGATGGGGACACAGAGCAAACATACCTGCAGAAGCCATCGAGATGCCAGCAAAGAAACAGACTTCCTAGGGGGAATAATAAGTGGGGAAAGAGTCCGTAGCTGGTGCTGACAGAGAAAGGAAATAAGCCCATTTTCTATGGGCCATTAAATGTGATGAAAGGATCTGGCTTGTGTGGAGGCTCCTGGGAGCTGACACGGGGTAGTCACTTCATCAGCCCAGGCCGAGCCTCCAGCTTCGGGCTGCAGCCTTCCTCAGAGGACATCTCCACCTTCTTCTGTCTGAACCCCTCAGGTCTACCCCGAGGGCCCCTGAAGTCTCCCCTCTCCCTTCCCAGGTCCATGTGAACCAACTCCAGAGCCAGACCGCCCACATTTGCTTTGCGGCTCTGCCACTTGCACATGGTCACTGAACCTCTCTGTGCCACAGTTTCTTCATCTATAAAATGGGGATAATTATAGTGCCTCTCTCTAGGGCTATTATAAGAATTAATAATCTAATCTGGGAAAAAGCACGAGCAACAGGGCCTGGCCAGTAGGGAATTGCTGGACCAGCGTTTGTAAAATTAATAAAAATTTAAAAACCTGTCTAATTCCTTTCATCTTGGTTTCTTGTCCTGATCCCCAGGCATGGGTTTCCATCAAACATCATCAAATCTCAGAGCTCATTTTCAGAAGGGGAAACAGGCCCAGAGAACCAAAGGACCGGGTGACAGACTAACTTGAACCCAAACTCATATTTTCCCCCGAAATTGTGGTGGCACCAGGTCACCTGTTCCTTCTTCACACATCCCAGCCTGTCTCGGTGCCTCTGCTTAGAATACCCTTTCTCTGGCCTTTCAATCTATCACTCAAATGTTCAAATGGCACTTCTAGGAAGACCCACGGGCAAAATAAACCTTCTTCCCCTACAATGGGGCATAATTCAGTTTGACAACACGATGGCTGGATGTGTCTGAGGCACAGAGGGTGAATCAGACCCAGTTCCTGTCCTTGGGAAGCTCAGGTTAATCATCCATATCTGTCTTGTTCCAAGCTGCAACCTCCTCTGGGGTGGTGAGCCAGGCACCCAACAAGCACCGAGGACCCAAACTTACATCTCCATGTTCAGGGCCTGGTTCTCCTTCCACTGCCATCCTGCCTTCTCCAGTCAGAACCTACTGACAGTACTTTCACTGGGCCAGTCCTGTGGGCCCTGGAACACACAGCTAGTTCAGTAGAACTCTCTGGTCTTGGGGAGCCCACCGACCTTTAGCCTGTCCCCAACCCCTGCTGCATCTGCCAATTCAGACCATCCTGGTCCCTATTCTTCTTTACATATCTCAGACAAAGCTGGCTATAGGAGGCAGGAGCACACTCAAGAGTCACGGAGGACGCCCCAGGCAAGAGAGTGAGACTCTGTCTCAAAAAAAAAAAAAAAAAAAGAGTCACGGAGGACTGGGTTAAAATCCAGTGGGGTGACATTGGGCCAGCCACATGAATCCTGTGTTCCACAATTTTTTCATCTGCAAAATGGAGGCCGGGCACGGAGGCTCATGCCTGTAATCCCAGCACTCTAGGAGGCTGAGGTGGGAGGATTGCTTGAGCCCAGGATTTGGAGGCAAGCAGTGAACTATGATCTTGCCACTGCACTTCACCCTGGGTGACAGAGCGATACAATGTTTCTTCAAAAAAAAAGCTAGCGATAACAATGCCCACCCCTCATGGAGCTACTGTTAAGAATTAGAGAGAACGTACGTCCATATCCCAGCACAGAAGCAACTGTGGCTTACCCAGGGATCCCCTTCCTCTTCTCTACCCTGGTCAAGCTTCCCCATTCTTTCAAGCTCACATTCCACTTCCTGGAGGAAGCTTTCCCTAATTTTTCCAGGTTACCCTGAGCTCCATTTTCTCTCTACTCTCACTGCACTGACCCCAGAATTGAGCATTTTCTTATTCTCTCATTCATTTACTAGAATTAACTTTCTCTTTCCAGCCAGACAAGAAGTAACAAACTCAGTCCTAAACCTGCCCCACAGTATCTCACAAGAGAAGCCTGAAAAGCAACTTGCTAAGGTAGCCCAGGACTCTGGAAAAGGGAGAAGATTTGGAGTCAGAAAACTGGGCGGGAAGCCCACCTCTGCTGTGTGACTTTCCAGCACTCACTTCTCTAAGCCTCAGGTTTCTCATCTGGAAAATGAGGATTGAAAAGTGTTTCCCTGACATAGTTGCTATGGAGGACAGATGAGCTAACATATATGAAACTAAAAAGTGTTATTTAAGGGATTATTATTTTCAGATGCTCAAATCCAAACCTACCAATGTCTCAACTTTCCTAAACCTAAGACTCAAGAGATCTGCTCATCCCACTGAGCTTTTTAGGCCCCAAATAATCTGCCAAAACCCACTCTTCTTAACTGTCCAATCTAAACAAAAAGCTAATAGCTTAGAACTCACAGCATCCATGGAACACAAACCTTATCCAGCTCAGAGACCACAAAGTCTCTCCCCCATCCTCAGATCTCATCCCTCCTGGACACAGGTTTCTCCTTCCCAGCTTAAGGCACCCCACTTCTCAAACCTGCTAATCAGGTGTTGGCCAGGCATCATTTCCAGCTTGCAGTCCAACTTCCATGGAAGGTGAACGTGGGGAAAGAAGACCACGGAGGGTATGGACCACATGGCTGTACGTGCGTGGGGGGAGTCTGGGTAGTAGAATGAAAGATTCCGCTAGAATTTTGTGTCCAACACAGTTGGTAAATGTACTATAATTATCTCATTTGTGTGAAAATTCATGGATCTGCATTCTGCTATTTTCATCAGACTGGAACTGGGGAAAATGGCAAGAAGTTGGGACTCAAAGTCTTATGCCTAGGAACCAAAGCTAGCCACCCCAGAAATGAAACCCCTGATCACCCTGCTGTGAGCCTGCAGCCCCCCACTCCAGGCCCAGCCCCCAGACTCCCATTCACAGCCCTAGCCCCCTAGACTTCCCCCTTAATACCATGAAGGCAACACAGACATCAGGTTCTATGAAGGCAACACAGACATCAGGTTCTATCAGAGTGAACTGTTTCTACATGATTTTTCCCTCTGGGAAAACTGCTTTGTCTCTCTCTGTGAAAGACCCCCAAACCAGGCACCTTATGAACACCCGAACTAGACAGTTTAAAGGGGAAAGGGGAGAAAGCAGGAGGGATCAGGCCCGGGAAGGGGAGCCCCAGGCCCGCTGTGAGCAGGAGATGGATGTGAGGCCAGGTCAGCGGCTTCTGGGCCCCCAGCCCCGCCAGGGCAGCCCCCGAAGTGCCTAAGCTCGTGCCCACAGTCCCCGCACGCTTCCAGCACGGTGGCTGTGGCGGGCCTCCGGTAGGCCTCTCAGCCCAGAGGCGGATCCCGGACCGGAAACGCCCCCCTGCCCAACCAGCCCAGACCGCGCCCCCCCTTTCCTGCTGCCCCCTCCCCCCGGGCCTGGCCACAGGCCCCGGATCCCCGGGCTCGCTTGGCCGCCGCAGCCGGCAGGAGCGGCCTGTCGGGCGGCCACGGTCCCTGGCCGTCGCCGCGGCCCCTCCAACTCCGGGCGCTGCGGGGCCAAGACGAACACAAAAGGAAGGGAGGCGCTGCCAGCGACGCCCCTGCCAGCCCCCTCGACCCCCTGAGTGGGTATCGGCAAAGCATCGGTGCACCCCCAAAGCTCCGGACCCCGAGGAGCGAGCCCCCCCCCCGAAAATTCCAGGACGCCTCCTGGGGGCCGCAGGGGCGGCCAAATCTGCCCAGCGGCAGGTGCCCCCGGCCGCACGATAACTTTGAAACTTTGGGGCAGGGCACGGGGATGGGGATCCCCAAAAAGGAGGAAATGGGGATTCGTAGGCTATTTCTTTATTTTTGCCAAAACCCACTTTCCGAGTGGCCCGGCGCGCGGCTCCGGCCTGGACGAGGTTCTCTGCGCCTCCTCCCCGGCCGGGCCCCGGAATCCCCGGGCCCTCGCGCGCCCGCGACCCGGGACGCGGTGGCCCGGCCTCTGCCCTGGTGGGGCTCGGGCCGCGCCAAGCACTCACCTCCGCCGGGCTGCGCTCCCCGCGGGCCTGCGCCGAGCCCGATAAATGGTATGCTATGACTAGAGGTATGATTACGTTATTATTAGTAGTAATAATAAGAGTAAATGCTATTTAATTATGGGCGGCCGCATCCTGCTCCCGGCGCCGCCGCCCCGGCAGCTCCGTCCATGCGGCTCCGGAGCGCTTTACTTTCATTTCCAGCCCCTCGGCCGGCCGCTCGCGGCAGCACCCGCTGAAGGCTCCGTCTCCCTGCAGCTCTGCCTCCTCGGGTCCTAGAGAGCGCGGCTCCCCTCGCCTCGTCGCGCCCAGGGTGGGCGGCGCGGGCTGCGCACCTGGGGAGGAGGGGTTGGGGGAGGAGGGGAAGCCCCCTTCCCCGTGGAAAGCTCATGCCTGGAATTCACCTTTATTTTCCTTAAAAGTGTCCTTCCTTTTAGGGGTTTTTTTTTTGGTGGTTCTGCATTTCTGGGCTGATGCTGGTCAAATCCAGTGCCTCGTCCCTCCCCCATCCGTGTAAAAAGCGCCCAGGTTTCCAGGTGCTTTCATGGAAGGCTCCCGAAAACCCTTTTCGCAGATGAGGACTGGAGGCACGGGGAGGAATCAGCATCTCACTTGGCTGGAGTTTTATGTATTGGGTGTTAAAGAAACAATTATTCAGTGAGGCTTGTTAAAGACGGCAAGGCAGACTTTATTCAAGGGCGGGCCATCACGGTAGGTGTAGGGACTACACACATGTGAAATGAAGAGGGGACGGGGGAAATGTGAGAGAACTTTTAGGCGTTCTCTGGGAATCAATGGGGCAGGTAGCGCTAGGGTGGGATGAACAGTATTTGGAATCCGGAGCTGTGGATCCAAATCTCCAGCCTGACCTTCACCAGCTCTGAGGCAGTGCCAGGGGGGCTTGCGGCAGGTCTGTCTAGTTTATACCCCTTTACTTAGTAGGTCTTCCAAGCGGCATCAAATCCTTTCTGGAAAGATCCCTGACAAAGGACAGAACTCTACTTGGGCTACCCTAAACTTGTCAACGGGTTTTGCAGTGGGGGAGAGAGATGGGGCTTAACTAGGAATTAGCCCGGGCAACTGGAAGTTTATAGCAAGGAGCAAAGTGGGGGTCAGTGGATAGAAAATTACAGCAAGGGAGGGGGCTTGGTTTCTGACTAAACAGACCTCACAGGCTTCTCCTTGAAGGCAGGCCAGAGCGATCAGAGGAACCTGCTTAAATATTGATGATCAGATATGAAGGATGGGGGATTCTAGCTAAACCAATTAGCAGGATTCTTGCTAAAATTGGACAATGCAGACATGAACACAGAAGTCCAAAAGTTTAGGCCTAGCTCACAAGTTCAGGGTAGCCCAAGTAGAGTTGGTTTAGATTTGGATCCACAGCTCCTGATTCCAAATACTGTTCATCCCACCCTACTGCTACCTGCCCTCCCCTCTTCATTTTACATGTGTGTATGTATATTTATTTATAGCTTATTGTGGATCAGCCGTGAGCCTGCTGAATTTTATCTTTACAAATTTTATCTGCTCCACCCACATTAATGACAGACAGAATCTTAGGACTGGAGATACAACAGTGAGACCAATTTTAAGTATTTAAATACATTGTGATAAGTGCTAGAAGAAACAACAACCTAGAGCCATGTTTACTTATTTAATTTTCACAATAATCCTAGAAGATTGGTTTTGCCATGCCCATTTTACAGATGGGAAACTGAAGCTCAGAATGAAGTGACTTGTCCAAGGTGGCAGGTCTGCCTCCAGGGTCTGTGTGCTTTATATGGCCTCCTACACTTTCCACTATCTCTGCATTAAGGGAGACTTGAAAGAGGAACAAAATGCACCTGCACCTTCAGAAGTTCTCAGACTCTTCCTTCTGTGGGAACCTTCTCCCTCCTCACTACTCTGAGATCAACAAACAAAGAGACAGCCTCTGGCATGAGGAATATGGACACTTACGTGCAGCTATGAAAGCCGAGTCCAGTGGCCCTCAGACATCACTGATGTTCAATGGAAAATCAACCCCTGGGTCACCTGGGATAGACTCAATCAAGACCATGGGCTAAAGGCAGTCACAGACTGAGCCTGATAATTGAGGAAGGTCAGATGGTGTGATACAGATGTCACCAAGGTGTCATTAGGAAAAGCAAGGTCCCCAGCCCAGCCACTTGGTGGCTGTGTGACTCTGGGTAATCTCACGGCATCAATTTCCCCGTTTGTAAAATAAGGATAAGAAACTGAATCATTAGAAAGTTTGTTTCAAGGATTACAACGAAATGTCTATAAAGCATGTAGTGAGGGATGAATAAATGTCAGTTCCCATATCCCCTGTGCAATTGAGTAAAACACTCTTGACAACTTATCATAGTAGGTACCACTGTTATTACATATTATCACTCTCATGTTATGGATGTGGGTGCTAAGGCCAGTTGAATTACTGCATCTTGCCTCAAATGAACTAGCTGGCAAATGGTCTGGTGATTCCACCATCCCAGGCTGCTGGTGAAATGACACATATCCTTAAAAGAGGACTGTCCATCATTTGGGGAGATTCAGCTGGATACCAGTCCCCCATCTCTTCAACTTGGCATCAACTTGTTAAACTGTTTGGGCTGCCTGAGATGGTAAAGGGGCCTTTATTACAAGGCCCCAGCCAGAGATAAGAGTGCTTTGGAGAAAGGGGCCGGGAGGCTGGCCCTGGTAATTTTTCTGGGAAGCCCCATGTTGTCAGGCAGCAGTGTCCCTACATTGAAGCTGAAATAGCAGTAACAGCCACCGCTTCTTGTTTACTATGAGTCCAGCACTGCATATGTTGATTCTCTTACCCTCTCAAAAACCCTATAAGGTAGGGATTGTTTTTACCTGTTTTCAGGTAGGAACAAACACAAAACAGTTAAGTGACTTAGACAAAGTCACACAGCTAAGAAAGAGACAGAGGCAGGATTCAGTTCCAGGCTTGTCCACCTATAAGGCATAACCACTGCACCGTGATGTGGACATCTTAAATCTGGATCTGTCATTAGTTAACCCCAAGGGCTTGTCATGGGAGTGAGTCACTGGAGAATGGGATTCAGAGGGTCATGCTCCTAATTCTGAGGAACTGAAAGGTGCATCATTGATTTATCCCTTCTTCAGTGAGCACCGTCTGCCCTAGGCTTATCTCCTGGGAGGGCCTGAGTGCATGGCAACCTTAACTGCAAGAATGAGTAGGATTCATTCACTTACTGGACAAATGTTCATTCATTGCCAGATCCTGTGTCCTCACAGCTCTAGCATTATCCCAGGACCTAGCCCTGCAGCAAATGATCTTAATTTGGGGTTTAGGGAAGGGCCCTGAAGATGTACACACAACTTTAGGCTTAGGTTCCTTTTTCCTTATTTGTAAATTGAAGGTGCTGTGGACAGAACGTGTCCCACCAAAATTCATATGTTGAAGTCCTATCCCTAATGTGATAGTATCAGGAAGTGGGGCCTTTGGGAAATCATTAGGACATGAGGATGAAGCCCTCAAGAATGGGATTAGGAGCCCAGGAGTTCAAGGCTGCAGTGAGTTATGGTGCTACCACTGTACTCCAGCCTGGGCAACACAGTGAGACCCTGTCTCAAAAGAAAACAAAATGGGATTAGTGCCCTTATAAGAAGAGATACTGGGTTGAGAGATGCTCTCTCTCTCTTTCTGCCAGGTGAGAATGCAACAAGAAAACAACCATCTGTAAAGCCAGAAGGCAGCCCTCACCTCTTAGTGACCATGTTGGCACCCTGATCTTGGACTTCCAGATTCCAGATCTATCAGAAATAAATTGCTATTGCTTAAGCCACCCAGTCTATGGTATTTGGTATAGCAACCTGAGGTGACTAAGACCGGGGTAATACGAGTGCTTACCTCATAGGGTCTGTAATGGTTAATTTTATGTGGCAGCTTGAATGGGCCATGGAGTGCCCAGATATTTGGTCAAACATTCTGGGTGTTTCTGTGAGGGTGTTTTGGATGAGTTTAATATTTAAATGCATAAACTAACTAAAGCAGATTGCCCTTCCTAAGGCAGGTGGGCCTCATCTAATTAGTTGAAGGCCCAAATAGAACAAAAAGGCTGACCCTCCCCCAAATAAGAGGGAATTCCCATCTGACAGCCTGTGAGCTGGGACATTGATTTTTGTACTGCCTTCAGACTTGAACAGAAATATGGGCTCTTCCTGGGTCTCCAGACTGCTGACTGCAGATCTTAGAACTTCCCTGTCTCCATAATCACGTGAACCAATTCATTATGATAAATCTCTCTCTCCCTCTCTCTCTCTCTCTCTGTCTCTCTCTCTCTCTCCCCCCCCCCGTATATATGTGTATACATACACACACACACACACACACATGCACATCTCCTGTTGGTTCTCTTTCTCTGGAGAACCCTGACTAATATAGGATCACTGCAAGGATTAAGTGAATTATTACGTGCAAAGCATTGATATATGTGTGATTGTTAATTTTAAAATGAATAAAAAATACATTCTTGGGACACAATCTATGGAATTCAGACTCTCAAAGGTGAGGGTGACATAAAAAAAGAGAAGAGGAGGCTCCATGGGTCTAGAAGGTGAGATAGGCTAGCCACCAGACAATTATAATACCATCGACAAAACGCAGGCGATGGAACATGGTCACATTTGTCCCCAACGTGTTAGAAAAATGTTCAAACATACAGAAAGTTGAAAGAACTGCACAGTGAACACCCACATGCCCTAGATTATTCTACCATTGTTAACATTTTGCTGTATTTGCTTTATTACATATTCATCCATCCATCAATCCCTGAACATTTTTGTTTTCAAAAAAGTAATTTTTAACTTTCTTTTTTATGCTCTTTTGCATTTTATATTAATTTAAACAGATTACTGTCAGTTTTCATTTAAAAAACGTGGAGCAAAAGAATTATTAAAAAGGAAGATAATTTGCTAAAAAACATTTGGTACCAGGAAACCCTCCATAAACATTAGAGCAGAATTTAAGCTCTTCTGTGAACACCATCCTTTTCTCTCTCCTGGGTTTCTCGGGAGCTGGAACAGTGCCCTTTCCAACCTGGATGTTTGAAACTATTTGTGGCGTGAATGAATTATTTAATTATGGTTA